TATCGAGGGGATAAAATCAAAGCCCGTACATCACTTTTTCAATGAGTAGATCTTTATCAATGTTAGGGCGACTGCTTCTCCAGCACCTCTTTGCCTGTAGGCTATCCTCCTTATAAGTTTCATTTCTCGTTTCATAGTCTTGGTCACTTTCTTCGTTCACGTCTCTGCAATGTTCTTTGTGTTATGGTGATTTCAGGATGCGATGTTCCTCGGTCTTTTCAATGGGTTGATTGGTGAAGGTGAGGTTATATTGCCTGGGTGCTCCTTTGACAGATATCGCATACTTAGTTTCCTCCAGGGAGAGGGTCAGAGTGATCCTCAGAGGGTAGGATTTTATTGTGTTCAGGCACATTCGGGTGGTCACTGGCTAATCCAAGTGGCGTCCTCTGTTTGTTCGGATGGTTATATCGTCGGCACATACTGTGATTTGCAAGTCAGCAATTCCGTAGACTTCCCAAAGCAGCGGGATCATGATGAGATTGAAAAAAGTGGGCGACAGCACCGACCTTTGAGGAACGCCGATATTATTTATCTTTACCGAGCGCAGGTATTGTATACGAAGAATCCAAGGCACTAGGCACAAAAGAATCCAAGGCACTAGGTACAAAAAAAGGGAAATATGTGATTTCACCTTTAGGCGTCATGTGAGCCTCGAGTGCGCACAATCAGCCAAAGCAGGCCAAAGCCAAGAAGCGCGTGCTGGAGGCCAGGTTTTTTAATGAGATGCCCTGCCGTTCGTACTTTATGTCACTGTATCATGGGAAAGTAGCGACAAGATCCCCGTATGGTCGCCATTTAGGTTAATGGAATGTGCCCAGTGTGTTCTTTACTTCTCCATTCTTGGTGATCCAGTCTAAATTCGTTTAAGACGCGTAGCTTTATAAAGACGTTCTTTGAATACCGAGATTTTGTTATCCACACATCGGCTAAACAGGCGCACATATTCGCACCGCCACCATATGCAGCGCGGGTGCTTCGCGGCCTTGAGAAATAATTTTCTGTCTTTAAATACGTAAGAACAATAATACTTCTGCAAGCGATCTGTGGGTATGACCATGATTGATAAGTGGATTGCATACACAGCGTCAAAGACACTTAAACTGGCGAAGAACGCTTTTAGTACGATGATGCTGCATAGCAATTTTAGCGCGACGGGCCCAGAACGACCGTTTCGAAGCTTCGAAGAATCGAATAGACCAAAATGGCGATTGCCATGACAACGGTTAGCCGAAACGCCGTTCGGCCGTAGCAGGTCGTGCCATCATGAAGCGAATCCTTGAGGCCCGCGTCCACCATCGGCACGCGTGTCACAGGGGCCCCACTCCTGCTGCTGGCTGGATGTGCCTGGCCACAACGCCTACGGTCCACTCCGTGTTCCCAGCGGCATCTCAGGTTCCTGTTGACCACATCATCAACACCTTGGATGTCGTTCTCGCTGCCGTCAACTCAGGGGAGAAGGCATAGAAGTTGAGAGCTGAGGGCAGCCTCCGGTTTGGTAACGTCGCGGTCCCCCAGGAACACGTGGGGCACCGCACGGTTTATGTGCCGGTGTTCTAACTATCAGCTGTACCGCCCGATTGCTCGGGCCGCACGGCAAGATCCTCCGTGTCTCGCACCGGGCGCATAAAGACGGCCCCACTATTTACACCGGAAGGAGTCGTACGCATCGTGACGAAAAAGGCGGTGCCCAACTTCATTTATGTCTCTGGGCACTGCGTTATGTGCGAGTATCAGGGCACGAAGAGGGTGTGTTCCCGCTACGGCCAGGTGGGCACTTCGGAGAGGCTTGCAGAACACTTCGCTTCTCCCGGTGTGGAGTCTGCGGCCATAGCACCGATGGCTGCACCTCACCGTGCAAGAGGTGTGGTCATGACCATGCTACAAGGAACTGCACAATGCGTCGAAGTTACTCGGTGGTGATCCAGGCCGTCAGCCCACCGGACCCCGGCGTGGTTCCGGCGAGTTAACCCGGCTCGCCCAACAACACCCACGGCGTCATTTCCTTCGCGCGCGTGGTGAGTGTACTGGGTGTCTTATTTTTTTGAAAGATGGAATAGCGCCTTGTACCTGGGAAAAAGCGTTTTAGCACATAAGGCAACAAGTGCAACTAGCCCGGGCGTTTAAAATCTTTTTCGGTGACAAAGCGTTTTAATAAAATTGGTCATTTGAGCGACGCTGTGGTACACTGCTCAAAATTTCGGTTCCGCCACAAGCAATGACGCGTAGAATTACTTTCCTCATGATTGCGCTTTTTAAAGACCAGTAAACCGAACTTGTTGCCAGGTCTGTTCTGCGCCGGCCTCGTGATGTGGTGGCTGGAGCATACCGTGTGTAGTAACTTTTGGAAAGTTGCTTGCCTTGCAGGATGATGTGGGCTGTCCAGGCCGCGCCCTCGTTTCGTACTAGTCGGGCATTTACGCAGAGTCCTTGTTGCTCAGGGGCTAAGAAATGTCTGTCCTGTGGCAGGTTTTTTGTGTTTTTTTTTTGTTTTTTTTTGTTTTACTATGCCATAATTGTCGCAATGCAATGCCGGGGAGCGGAAGTATTGCCCGACGTCAGTGCCCAAGAGACACCAGCAGTATCACGTATGTGTGAAGCCCTTTGCGGGTCTGGCGTGTTTTCCCGGCGCCAAACTCAAAATTCACGAGTGTGCATAAAAATATGTTAACTTAAGACGTACCAGGGCAAGTAGCTGACATCGGCTGGAAACATGAGTGGGATGTTCTACCCACCGGAGACATGTCAGCACATTGGGGAGTACCCGCGACTGACGGTTTCCCCCAATCTGCCTCCCCAGAGACAAATCAACTTGTATTCGCCACAGATGTGTAGTGGCGCGCACGTTTCGATCAGTGGTATCACGGATGTTTTTGGGACCCGCTTCTACTCCCAAACGCGTGTGCGCAGTAATTTCGCCAAGCTCGTAGTAATTCTAACCCACCAAGTTTTTGTGGCAGCATAGAAATAAGGCCATTGTTCAACGCCGGCGTTTTAGGCCACCGCTTCCAATGCTGCGAACACTACTAGAAAATATGGCCCACCACCTGTAAAATCAACTTTAGAGCCTAGGTGAGCAGGAGATCGTCAGGCGCTGGCACTCTCAGTTTTTCTTGTGAGTGGCAAGGAGGTCCGCATGCCCCCCACAACTGTTTCGCTATAGGATGTAAAAAAATAGCAGCTGTGGCCCAGCAGCACTGAATTTGTAGGTATCTAAATAAAAGTTTCTTTACCAGCCAATCACCTTGCGACGTTTGGTCGTCTCTATGTTAGTTTTCAGCTTGCTTCCGGCTAGCAGACAGGGCCGGCAATGGCGCTACTTTCAAAGCATCCAGTGACTATAGATCAAGAAACCCTGGAAAATCAATTCTGCAACGTCTTACGCAGTGTTGTAGGCGTTACCGAAAAAAGTAACAAAATGCATTGCTCCTTAGTTGCAAATAAAAGGAACGCGTTACCGTCTTACGTTACTTCAAAATAAAAGGACCACGTTACCGTTACAGTTGCTGATAGAAAATAACGCACGTTACTTTTGCGTTACTTTTTTTAATTCTGAATTAACACGTTTTTTTCTTCTGACGTTATAGGTACGCATGAGCGCCGTATTTCAAGAAACATTATGTCCATGCAGAAACTGAACGTATTCACTTTATATTTTTTACGGTTCCAGCTAAATACTTAAAAGAAAATAACGCAAAGAAAAATGTAAACATTTCTAAAATCCACATGGCTTGGCGCCTAGAAACATGAAATAAATTGAACTGTAACTTTCTTTTATAAAGTTTTGGGAAGAAAAAGTAACTAGGAACGTAACTCCGTTGCAGTTTACTCAAAAGAGTAACGTAAATACGTTACTCGTTACTGTTTTGATAAAGTACCGACTACGTTGCACGTTACAGAAAAAAGTAACGCGCCAAGGTAACGCCGTTACTTGTAACGCGTTAGCGCAAACACTGGAGTCTTAGGGCCAAACCCCCCCCCCCCCCCCCCCCCCCCCCGCCGCCCCGAAGAAAAAATAAAACAAGAAATTTAATTATCAATATTACTGCTATGCGGTTTGCTGACAGCACGCATATTCGGTCCGCGGCCAACATATTCGTGTGCCAGAAGACACCCATGCGTAATTCCTGTTGTTTTTGCTGTGGCTGAGCGGTGCTCACTACGTCAACCTTGTTCAGCACTGAATGTCAGGGGAGCAAAATTATAAGGAGCGAAACGTTGTTCCCCTATTTGAAAATCTAATTTGTATGAGAAATGTTTGTGTCCAATAAGCACATATGAATCATACAAGATATATACGAGCGTATAGGAACTACATAAGAACTATTTAAGAACTATATAAGATATATATAAGAACATATAAAAACCATATAAGGAACTTGAAAGAAGTGTCTTATATGTTTCTTATATGTTTTTATATATCTTATATAATTCTTATATAGTCCTTATATAGTTGTTATATAGTTCTTATGTGTTCTTATATATCTTGTATGATTCATATGTGTTTATCGGACACAAGAAAATTCTCATACAAATAGCTTTCTCAATAGGATCGCTGATGTTATGAGGCAAGAGCGATCGTAGAGTTTGATAAGGACGCTAGGCTGATCCAAACGACGATCTCCTTTAGCAATGGCGCTGGACCCCCACGACACACGTCGTCAATTCAAGAACAAAATAAAGTTTTGCGCTTTATTCAGACGCTGCGCGAAGTAGTTATTAAAATTTGTTGTTGTCCGGGAAAGAAACAATGCATTTGGCGTTTGAAATGTATACGTATTCATAGGCTAACATATAGTTCATCTAAAATATAGTTCATCTGAAATACACCTACACGTAGCCTAATTCACCGCATAAAGAAGATAATAAATAACAATCCACAACAAAAAAAACGGATTTTTTTTTTTACTAAGGATTTTAGGTGAAAACGCATATAGACAGATTCTCTCGTGGGACCTTTAATGCCGCGTGTACTAAATTCGCAAAAAAAAAAAAACGCTCACCTGCTGTTTATGGCCCGTTGACGTGCCAGGGGCATCCTCTTGTTTAGGTAAAACACAGAGTTGAAGTTGAACATGGCCTCCTTGCCGACGTAGTACTCCCCCGCGTCAGAGTTGGCGCAGGCGGTCGTGGCCCGGGCGGCCAGCGCGGCTCGACTCATGATGAGCACAGCCTTTCCTTGAACCAGCTCGCGCATTGTGCCATCGGACAGGACGACCCCCGGTGGCTGGTCGGACTTGTGTCTCTGCATCATGCGCCATACCTTCTGGTACGACGGGTCCTTGGAGTCCTGGTAGGACATGGTTGGAATCAGGTCAAAAAGGAAGAAACCCCTTTCCAAAAAAGGATGGTATCCAGTGCGAAATGCACGAACAAATTATGAAAAAAATTATTCCCAGAACGCCTACCACACAGAAGAATAGTGTTATTTGAATCGAGCAATTCTAGACAGGGGTGAGTAAGACCAAAGGTAGGCAATTACAGTTCGCTCAACAATGTGCAGCACTCAGGTGCTGCTTCGACGGCAGCACGTGCCTTTGACTTATTGAAGCAAATACAGTCCAGTTCAAGAATGTTGAAGGAAACTTTTTTCACCCAATTCGGGAAGAATGACTGACGTGTTTGGTACGTTATCTTAGCCGAGAGCTGAAGTAGACTGAATGGCCTTTCGTAATGTAAGGACCTTGAGTGAAGAGGAAAACGTCTATCAATTTGTCCGAAGTCCTGACGTAAATTGGCGCTCTGAATGACAAGCCGATTGCTCCTTGCGATATCGAGATATGTCATCGCGTACCTGCAGGCAATTTATCGCCAGGTCAGCTTATCATTGCGCGATTTAATCTTCGCTCAGAAAGGGATTCTGTAATCGAGAATGCGTGGAAGAATCGGTTGTCAACCTCAGATTTAGGCCACGGTGCACGTGCCTCAGTCTACTTCAATGAACACTTGTGTCCAGAACTAAAAAAAAGCTGCTTGGCATGACTGCAGTAAAGAAGAAGAAACTGGGGTAGAAATTTGCGTGGACAAGCGGCGGAAACATATAGTCGCGAAAATCAAGGCAGTCACGGGCTGTCTCTTTTCCTTGCATCAACGAGTTATCCGAGATGGTGTAAGATCATTATGTTTTCCCTCAAGTTATGTTTTTTGCCACGACTGTTTGAGCGAATCTCATGCCGAATGAAGTCACCACTCTTTTTAAATATGCCAAAGAGAAACATCTATTATTTGTTTCCATCAAACCTTCGTTCTGCTCGTAATAAGGAGGACGAGCTAAGTGCTCTGTTTCAAGAATTTGTTTTTTCTTTCGATATGATCATGCTCACCGAAATATGGAATCAAGACGACCTGAAGGTGCTGTCAGTGGACAAATATAATTTTTAACCCCTTGTTTAAAAGGTTCGGGGGAACATATATATGTGTACGAGATAGTTTTGATTGTGAACTCATGACCGATTTTTTTTATTTATTTGTAGTGATTTTGAAATATTGACGTTGAAGTGCGGGCAAAATATTTTTTATCTTGGTTTAAAGGACACCAAGTGGAAAATTAAACAATTTTAGGCCATTTTGGTAAGTTCTTCAGTTTTTGAATATCAACCGGCATAAACGTTTTATGGGTTGAAATTTTAATATTAACACGTTAACAGCCTCAAATGCGCAATATTCTCTTGCAAGTGTCGTTGAATCGAACAATCGCATTAACATATTTAGTTCACCAACACATGCTACCGGTGTTTCATCTACGCTTATCGATCTTTTTCTCACGAATAATGATGCACGTAATACGTTTGGTGGGGTGGGGGAGGGTCGTTGCCGTCCAAATAGGCGATAACTTGTCGTTACTCATGATGACAAACAACACCGCTGACAATCACAGTAATGCAACCATAAACGCACGTATGCAAAGAAACATAAATTCTCACTCTAGTAAAGTACATAATTACAGAACAGGCACTCACTCACACCTGCATGGTCTACAGAAGGAAACGTTTGTGTGTGCTTCGTTTTTTGTTTTCGTCTACTAAATCATATGGTTCTGAGTCAGCGCCTGTCCAGACGTGCGTTTCTTCTCTTTGTCCTTGCCTTACAGGCTGTTTTTCTTCCAATCATGTATACATTTTCACACATTTGAAGTGTTGACATCCCATATTAGTGACGTAAACTCGAATCTAGTTTACAATTTTTTTTCCGCTGATAAAGCGTATGTCTGCTTGTTAACACTTTGTATTGGAATTTAGCAACATCTTCCAATAAAGACCAATCCATAAAAACAAACGCGTCCGAACCTTTGTTGACTTAAGAATGTTACAAAATGGTACGAAAAGAAAAACAAGCTAGACCGTAAGTTCTTAACTACGCGGAACACTGAAATTAAAAAAAAAAAAATTCAAGACATATAAAAACCAACTGACTAAAATTATCAGAAAAGCAAAGGGAAAGTATTTGCACTCATTATTTAATGAAGGAACAATGTAAAGAGCAGACCAGACTTGGTACATAATTAACCGACTTTTAGACCGATCATGAGGAAACAATACCATCACAGAATTGCAAATTTGTGACAAAACATTTCGTGAAAAGAGCTCGCTAACTCATTTAACAACTATTTTGCGTACATTACCCACATCTGTGACAACCCACTGTGGACGAGGTACCTAGAAACTCGTCATGAAAGTAGCGTGCTTCTTCAACCAACGGACCAACACGAGGTTTTTAACAAATTTAATTCTATATACTTTAGTAAATGTAGTGACATGGACGATATACAAATGAAGCCCGTTAAATACGTTTGGAACATATTAGTACCTGTATTGTGGTTCATATTTATTCTTTCTATCACCACAGAAAGCTTTCCTCGCCGTATGCAAATTGCCAAAGTCGTTCTTTCCATAAGTGGAAAAAAAAGGAGCACTCAAGCTATAGGCCCCTTTTCATTTTACCGGTGTTTCCGAAATGTCTTGAAGAAATCTTAAGCAGAAGAATAACTTTTTTTTCATCAATTCTTGATGTTTGCATTCTCAAAATACGGTTTCGTTAGGGACGATCCACCGAACTTGCCCTACATACAAAAATCAATTATCTTGAAATCATTTGAAGAACAGCATATTACTCTCGGGGGTTTTGTGGACTTTTTCCAAAGTTTGCATCGCATATATCATACCACTCCACTAAAAAAACAAAAACAAAAACCTTGAGTTCCACGGTTTTTATGTTATAACATTCGAACTGATAGCTTCATACTTACACTTTTCTCAACAGTCTGTCATCATCAGTAGTCAGTGTTCCAGCTTACTACCTATAACTGTCGGTGTTCCTCGGGGAAGTATTTTGGGTCCATTTATTTTAAATATTGACATCATTGACATCGTTCACATAAGTAACGATGCAACCATTGTAATTTATGCCGATGATACTTTTTTTTTTGCAGTTGACAACGAAACGCTTGCTCAAGTCGCAAACCGCACTTATGAATCACTGTACACATGAAGTAACGTAAATTCACTGCAAATTAACAGATCTAAAGCTAAGGCCGTGCTGTTAAAACCGAATAATGAATCTTTTATTATCGACTGCAACCTCGTGATAGGTCCATATTTTAATGAAATAGTTCATCTTGCTAAAACTTTCGGCGTAATTTTTCAAGAAATCGTGTTATGGGATTGTCACGTTGAAACTATTATTGGTAAGACTTCTAAAGCTGTAGGTGTTCTTAAGAAGTTTTGTTTCGAGCTCCCAGTCACCATTAAATTACTCATATACAACTCTCTCCTTGTTCCATATCTAAATTATGGTAATCTTTCTTGGGGTACCACTACAGCAACTATTATAAACAAACTCCATGTTCTTAAAAAAGGCAGTTACGTCTATCAATAATGTATCATATGACACCCGTACATAACCTCTTTGAAAAGCACTGCATCTCATTCCAGTTATTCATCTCTATGATTGCACCTTTATTTAAATATTCACCTCATCACACAAAATAAAATTGAATATTCACCTCATCAAACAAAAAGTTGATTTAATGCGAATTTCAAAATTCTACACCGTTCCTAATACCGACGCTTGCAAAATACCACACTGCAGAACAAATAACGGAACCCAGACGCTAAGGCATAAGCACTCGTCATTACAAAATAATTTATTGAGAAACAACATCACAGTTGAGACGCCAACACCCCATTTCATCAAAATTATGTTTATGCAACATATTGAGACGTGTGTAGACTGTAACAATAAGTTTTTTTTTTTATATTTGTGCGTTTTATGTTTACTTTATATTGTTATTTAGTAGTTCTATATATTGTGTTTGCGTTTTTTCGTTTTTTTTTTTTTTTTTTGCTTTGCAACGGTCTGTCTGCCTCTGCCGAGGAAACAAGAGCGGGCCTCGTCAAGCCAAGATATGATATGCTTTTTGCCCACATCTCCGTCGCCTGTACAAATGTATAGACGAAAATAAAGTGAATTCGAATCTGTACTTAACTTTTCTTCTTTTGAAAATCAGTACCTCCGGCAGGGCTTGCTAACCATAATGGTAAAAGATTTCCAAGAAAGACATACCAACGCAGCCTTTGATTTATGTGCTGCGTTCCTGTGTCTCGTAAGAATGATACTGCCACCGAAATAACGTGTTTTGTTTTTCTTGGCACAATTATTACAGTTTCAAAATCTGATATTAGCCCATAAGGGCGTTTGATTGAAAAACGTAAAGTATTGAGAGCAATTCTTACAATTTTACTCTTTAATTATACCCTATGATTACAATGGCCTTGTTTCAGCGGGTCGTACTGGCAGAATGTTATTGGAAAAATAACAAATACGTTTGTTCATTTAGCCATTCACTAAAAATTTCTGCGTTATTTTCTACTCAGAGTGGTGTAGCCATACATGCAGCACCGCTCTGAGATAGGAATTTTTGGAAACGGTAACCTATTTAGTATTTGCGTGTCTCCAGGAACCACTTTATCCTTGTGACTTTTATTAAACAAATTATTTGCAAAAACGATATTGTTTAGTATACTGTTTAGGCTGCAGCGTACAAGCAAACCTTGAACAATGAACGTAAGCCGATCTCACTCTTGCGGCTTTAGTTAAGAGTCACATAGCTTACATGGTTCGCCTAAGTCTTCCAGCATTATTTCCCCCTCGTCACTAAGCCTCAGGCTATAATAAATGTGCTCGAGATCTTCGTGTTTAACCACAACTCTGACAATGTTTGTTGACGTGAAACTGCTTGGCGTAGTTTTTGATAGATTTCGACAGGATGTAGGGCTGAACAGTACCACGATACGTTCAATATTTTAAAGATACTTTCGGGTGTCTGTATTTCTGTGTCGAGATGCACTCGAAAAATATATTTGTACCTCCGTAGTAAAATAAATGTACGAAGTATCGCTTGTATCGCGATACTCTGTCTTGGCCTAGGTATCTCTTATATGTTGTCTAAAATTAACTGTCGGGTTTTTACAATAAATTGATAACCACCTTCGGTGGTGTGAGGGACCCCGAACTTTATATGAATCCGCTACCTAACCCTCTCTGCAAGGGGAATGCCTGATACGAAAGCCAGATATATCGCGAACAGCCCCAAAAATACGATCATTTCCATTTGCATTTACCCCTAACTGCTCCCGCCGCACGTACCACGTTTTAAGAAGAAAAAAAAAGGTATTTCTGGATGTACCTGGTATCTGTATACCGGTATATTTTTTTCAT